TGGACAATAAAAACACCCAGACAAGACAAGAGACTGACAATTGTTTTACATCTTCGAAGAAGCGTTGCTGATTCGTAAGATTGTATTAGATATACGTATGTGTATTTGCTCTGGCTCATGTATTGTTGATATGCCTGCATGTGGTAACAATACAAAAAAGTAACGTGTAGGTGAGAAGTCTAATTCAACATTTTTGAGATGCTTCTAGTGTTCCTCACCTTGCTGTGAAAAAATTCCAGCAAAAAAAAATCTTACTCTACTAAATCATATCTAAAATGCAAAAGGTGATAGTCAAGATTTTACATTTCTGCACAATTTTCTAAACTTCTCGAGCGTTTGTAAACTTAAATAAAGTAATAATGAAAGAAAAGGTATTGCAAACAATGGGATAACCTGTTACACACACACACAAAAAAAAGAAAAACTTTGACCATGAGCAGTCCAAAAGGTCTGTCAGACAATTTAATCTTCAGCAACAAGTTCAATGCCTTCAAAACGATTTTTCTCTTGATAGTTGAGTAAAAACAGCAGCTGCTAATTTTGRAATAAAGAACAAGATACCATGTAAAGTGTTTAAAATTGTTAAACTGATATCAAAATGTGTAAGATTACTCTGAAGAGCTAATCAGAAAAAAGGCAAACACACACTTCAATCACCTTTATGTGCAATTTTTCTATTCAGACTTACAGCTATATAAAAAGAACATTTAGATTAGAGTCAAGTAAAAGAGAGTCATGACTTCAGCATATGTCCTTGCAACATCAGGTAAAGGAACTAATAATCTTCCTTTCTTTTTGGTCTGTTTCTGATAAGATTGTACACCTATGCTAAATTTATGCTTGCTGTTCTTGACTGAAATGACTGTGACAGGTGTACTGTGCCTTTTTGTGTGTTTTGACTGGTCAAGCACTCCTGATTTCTGTAAGCTTTTGCGCACTGAGTGAGTGACACATTGTAAGTCAAGAACAGCCACAGAAAAAATAAGTAAACTTGGCAATTAGTTCAAACGAGCAATGAGCATCTGTAAAACTGAACAAAATCCAAGACATGCAAACAATAAATGAACAAAAAAATGTATTTTCAATATAAAATGTAATTTATAACAAATCTTGTGCATTGTGTGGGAGGAGGACTGCAGTAAGTGTAGCATGTCTCAAGTGTCTGTACAGCAACTCGGCTATGGTAAAAAAACTGTTCACGTCATCACCACTAAACAAGTATAATCTGGTCTTCAACCTCAAAAGACAAAAACATAAATTTGAAAAAGGAAAAAAAAAGACTAGTTATTCCAGTTTCTGTGACTTAAATACTAAAACACGACTTGTGTGAAGCACTGCACCTCAAGCAAAGAACGCAGCAAATACATGGCACTTAACACAGCTTATGTTGATGAAAGATCTCCAAAGGGGAACACTGAAAAACATGTCACGAGTAAACACACTGTTGTGTGAAGTGTCTGACCAACAAACAGTGGCAAACTGAATTATTAAGCCAGACGCAATAAAGTTGTCAAATAAAAGCTCAATTTTAATGTTTTAGTCATGTAAAAAGAATAATYTCATTTAATATGTTTTTCATGCTGTATTTATTTATCCAAAAGTCAATATCAAGACAATTTTTATTTTTTTGTGGACTAGTATTCCTTTTATGTGTTGTTTGAGCTTTTAACATTTGAATTAGCATCTAGCTCAACACATATGTCTTTATGCAAATTCTGTGAAAGAATATTCAGAATTAACTATGCTATCTTACAAAATATTTTCTCTTGCTCCTACCTTTCCATCTTAATGCAATATCCTAATGGTTCTTCAACTTTACACTTGATGGTGAACTCTAAAACACAATAGCGTTGTCTGCAGCTATGCTTTATCAAAACTTGACAATGGTTTTTGAGGTTTTATCTGTAGAATCTGGACATTAACTAGTAGCATTTGTTAAAGAGAAAGCATAATTAAMTTCCATTGTAAGTTTTGGCTGCAAAGGTCTTTTTGCCTACAAAATAAAAGCCTTTCTGTTCAGAGCTTTAAATAACTTCTGGATTTCCATTTTACCGGATAGTTCGGAGCAGCTGACACAGCTCCTTTAGTATCGGCGCAGACTTGATGAAATGGAGGGATGCTGCATTATCAGGGAGGTCTGCCAAATACAGGAGACGCATACAAGCAGGCCGAGCTGTCAGAAGCACTCATGAAAACACTTATCACGAGGAAACAAATTACACTGCAGTAAGGCAAACATTAACTCCAGCACCATATTATTGTCATTCGGCACAGATGTAACTACTTAACTGGTCATCATACATTATAATTAGCATTTTCTCTGTTTCTGTTTTATTGCAAGTTTGATGCTCTAAGACTTTCCACTCAATTTCCAGTTTTGTTTTGAGAATCATTCAATATTAAGTTTGCATCACAACTTAATGAATTAACAATAAACTGGGTAAAACAGTCCAATCAATAACAGCTAATGTTTGACAAGTATGCTTAATATAAATCCATTTATAACATCAGCTGACAATGTTAGTAATGACGGTAAAACMCCAATCCGCCTCTTGGAACAAACTTGACCTGTATGGAGATCCCTGTGAAGGAATCRGCAGCAGACAGCCAGTTTGCCAGCACTGAAAGCTATTGTTTACTACTAGTGATGTCACCAGCACTACTTCCTGGGAGGGCCTCGGGGTGGGTGGGAAGGGGAAGGGGTGGGAAAACATGGAGATCAGCAGAACTTTATGACAAAGAGCTAACGGCACACTAAACTGACCCACCAGCTCGTGACCCAGCCCCAACAGATTTGAATTGCATACTGCTGTCAAAAATCCACAATGCAAAAATACAGACAAGACAATGTCACACACATAGCGAGAAAAAAACAGGGGCAGGAAAATGCACTTGAACTTAAGGAGGTGCAAGTATTAGACTCAACTGTTTTTTCAAAAGACACCCTAAAAAACAGCTTTATTTTACACATGACCAAGTCTTTGAAGGTGTTCTACTGTATGTTCCTAAACAGTTTGCTTCGTTCTCTTTGGTTTCACTGATAACTTATGTTGTCCTCTATTTGTATAACAAAAAAAAAAAAAAAAAAAAAAAAAAAAAAAAAAAACTATTAAGAGCATCAGGCCTGGGAAACCCCAACAAATTAACAAGCTTAAAGAAATATGAACAGACAAGACATCTGTGTAGCACTCTCAAGCCTTCACAGGTTAGAGCAAGTCTGAGATGTCCAAATGCACTGGAAGGTATTCTACAGCAAACCGTCAGCTTTAAGAGTGACTTCTATCTGGGATTAATTGTAGTATACTGTATGTTATCTGAAGTATTGGTAATTATATCTGCATATCTACTAGGGCTGTGTATTGGCAAGAATTTGGTGATACGATACATATCACGACAGAGGGGTCACGATATGATATATCCCGATATATTGTGATACTATAAGCAAGGCGATATATTGCGATTTTTTGTCCAAAAATTCTATTAAATAAAAACGTCTTACGGGGAAAAAAATGAAAAACCAAAATTCATTGTCTCAGAAAATTCTAATATAACATACTGTAGACATGCTTTTGATACATTTAGCTGTGTTCTGCTTTGTATGTATTTTATTTTCTTTGTTTCATATTTCTTATTTCATCCATGTTTTCAATTATTAGACTAAATTTGACAATAGTTTGAAAATATATATTTTGCAGCTTTTAGTTTTTAATATTAATTTACAATATGGTCACCCAACACTTAACAACAATAGCCTGTAACTCAAGAGGTAGAGTAGCCAAATGGCTGGCTCACTGCTGCAAACTAGTGGTCAGAGGCTGAACTACAACATAAAAATGAACGGCTGGCAGGAAAGTTGACATTTTAAACCTTAATAAAAAATTGATACAGGGCTTTAGAATATCGATACAGTATCGGGAAATGAAATTTCGCAATATTTCAGTGTATCGATATTTTCTTACACCCCTAATATCTACTGCTGTTCATTTTATTATTTTTCCAGCTTTACAATCTGATCCATCCCAAGATCTATGTCAGTTTAATTGATAATGCTAAACACAGCATTGTGTTACAAACATCTGACCAACCAGACACACATGCACAATAAAATAACCCTACAATAGCAGTTGGTGCCAGCCACTGTTGCCACCCTCGCAGTGGGGGGAAGMGGGTCATGTTAAATGGGTTGGGCTTTAGCCTCCAGCTCAAGCCATGAGGATATTTCACATCCCAACCTGTGCAATAAGCTCCCCTCTTTTTCCAAGTCCACCAACACATTCCAGTGAGCTGGCCAGCTCCACTTGCAGGTATGTGAGATTCTGGGAAGGAGGGGGAAGGACTTGAAGTCATGCACCAGCTTCCCTTCTGCTTCACTGTTTAGGTACATCAGAATGAGAACAGAAACCTCCTTATTCCCAAGGTACAAGGAGGAACTCCTGTAATGCCATGCAATATGCAGTATTAGCTCTAAAACTGGCACAGAGGAAAAAAGATCCTTCTTTTTTTATTCAGTCCAAAAAAACATGTTATTTAGCCTTCTGGTTTAACCTTTGATTTCCAGACTGACAGCTGCCAAGATGAAGAGATTATTTCATTGAGCTAAGGTTTAATTTAAATCCAGAGATTGCTTTAATAGGTGCAGGAGAGGGTTAGCTTTAAAGGCTTAGTGGTAATAATGATGTTGAAAGGTGTACAGGGATCAGAGATGACTGTTTCCTGGTATACAAACAGTGACAAGGCCTTCTCACTCACGGGACAAGTAGTACTTCACTGCAAAATAACTCCATGCTGAGCTAAGCAGACCTTCCATGGAAATCTTGTGCCCTTCTTTAGCAAATGAATAGCACGTTTATGACACAGAACACCAACACAGTTTGCTAAGTGTTAAAACAACATTAAAGCATGAATGCAATTATACACGTGTACCGAGTTTCAAATTAAAATGATGCATTCACCCCCCCCTGATGACTCAATTCGTGCAGACAGTGGATTAGTGCACATACCTGTCAGTGAAGCTGGACTGTGTGTCACTCATTGGGCTTCCCGTTCTAGATTTGCAGCAAGTTATATCCTTTTAACATTTTCCACGGTGTGCTGAGGTGATCTCCTGGAGCATCCTTGTTGTCGGGCATTCATCTGAAGCTGGCATGGGTTTTTAGAGAACGGTGCTGAGGATCAATACACTTTAGAGCAGTGTCAAGTCGATGCAAGACATGTCCAAACGAACATATAATATAGATGGTGGGGGAAACGAATGAATGATTGATCTGTCAATAAATAATCCTTGCACAAATGAAGCAGCTACAAGGCATCGAACAGTGCGGACCTTGGCTGTTAATCGGYGCCTCGGTCGATGATATCCCACCCCGGCAATGAACAGTATTTTTTGCCAGCAAAACAAATAAATAAATATATAACTCCGTCTGGCACAACTTGCAGTGCAGATACGAACTCCTCGTACGACTCCTTCTGCGTTCACATCCCAGTTATCCGCCGGCAGGGAACGTGTAAACAATCCAACGCACCCGACACCCCTTGGCCCAGCCGATGAAGTCCGTCTGCCACCACCTCAGCTCGGCCCGAAAAAAAAAAAATATGGCCCTAAATGATCCTTAAAGATGCTGGAAATTCCTGCAGTCCCATTTGGTATTCCCTGATCCCAGAAACGCTCGGCCGTGGCTGTCTGCGTGTAGACGAGTCCCCCGTGATCATGAGAATCCCTCTGTTATAGCGAGTTGTTCCACGAACCGCGTTACAAGTTAGCAAAACTGTAGCTACGCTGTAGTTGTTGTATTTAAAGCAACACAAGCCGGTTATAGTGTTAAAACAAGCATACTGATTCAGAAAAGCCCCATTCACGGCGAAATGGCAGGCGTTAAATCTCGGCAGCTACCAGCTAACAAAACAGATGAGCTCTTAAAAAAAAAAAAAAAAACTTTGCTTCGTGTGCTCTCTTGTTTCGAGTGCAAACTAAGCAAACTCCCGTTCACAACAATGAGCCAGCACAGAGTTGTTACACATACGAACACAGCCTCTTGAATCTTGCCATAAAGTCCCTCGAATAAGTCTTATTCAGCAATGATTTTAAAAAAAAAAGGAGGAAAATCCAGTGGCTTCGTGTTAGCACGGCGCTACGTCGCTTGACTCCATGTTTCCAAAATTTAGTCGTTTCTCGGCTGATTTCTCGTGGATGGAAAAGCAGCTAACGGGACATAAAAAAAAGTTAGCACCCGCTCCTCTGTAAACAACGACCACCGCTCGCAAAAATATACAAATAAAAAAATATATATAAACGCATAGGGGCTTCAAACTTTTTCCTAGTGAACGTGCAACGTGTTTTCCGACAGAATACACCGTTTTCAGAAGAGCAGAACTTGCGGAAAGGTACCAAAAATCCCACTATCTGCCGCTAGCAACGCCCTACCCGCTACCAGTCAGCGAGGGTCCAGTAGCTCCTCGACTAACCACTTCCGCCAGGATGGGAAAATGTAGTTTCATCGTGACGTTAGGGAACATTGCTGTAACTCATTTTTAAAAGGCTGACACAACATACACTAGCAAGGTAATATTCATTTAATAGTGTATTGTGCATTTATACAGTAATGCCACTGGCCAAAAATTGCTTGATTTGACCAAAGCAACATTAAAAAAATGTATTTACTTAACATTACTCACATATTAGCATTATGTCCTGTTTTTTTCTTCATATTTTCAGTTCTATTTTAGCCATTTTTTTAAATAAAAAAGCTCATTCAGAATTTGAGTCCTATGACTTTTGATTTTTGTAATGTTTTAACATTTCAAATTTTTTTAGTTACAAATATTTTCTGTATTAAACCACATATAAAGGATCTTCAAGATCCCTTTCTGTGGTTTTTGTCTTCTTATGCTATTGTACAGCTACCAAATTGCTACTTTTAGCTTTTAGCTAATGTTTTGCTGCTTTTACATTTAGCTAATTTGGGCTTTTAGCTAGCCTTTTGCTTTATTTAGCATGTAGCCAGTGTTCTGCTCCTTTTTGTTTTTCTGTAGTTATTAGCTGGTTTTCTGCTTGCCATTGTCAACAGCATTTATATATATATATATATATA